GCTGAGTTACCTGGCCCTTGTGTGCTGTTGCGACACTGGGCGATTGTCTGACTTGGATGAATGGGAACACCTAAAATGCACAGATGATGAATAAGAACATTTTGGTTTAGACACTTGATATATTGGCATATCGTGCATAATTACTGCCAATTACCATCTGACACCCATCAAAGGTCAGTTACTGAGCTAGTCAGTGAAGAGAACGGGCTGGGTCAAGGATGAAGGCCACCTTGGACAGGATCTAAGATCACAGTGAGAAAAGTCAGGTGAATAACAAAACCCCTGAAGTTCATACAGGGCCACCCACCTACAAAGCTCTTGCACACCTCGGTCCTCCAGTTCAAAGCCTATTACCTACTCTCTCGGTGACTCTAGCAATGCCTTTGATTTCTCCAGACCTTGGATGCCTTATCAAAGTTGCTTTGTTGGAGACCCTGAGTGGCTCAGTCGGGTAAGCGACCGACTTCGGCTCAGGTCATGATCTCCCGGTTCACGAGTTCGAGCCCTGCATCGGGCTGTGTGCAGAGCCTGGAGCCTGCTTCAGATTCTGTGTCCCCCTCTCTCTGACCCTCCCCCACTCACGCTCTCTCTCTGTGTCGCAAAAATGAATAAATGTTAAAAAAAAATTTTTGTTAAGTTGCTTTGTCAAGGCTTTATCAATAGTTGGACTTGTTCAGTAGTCTTCAAACATGTCTAGCAACAGAAACTTCATCTTCCTGCCCATAAGTCTACATCAGAACTGCACAGGGGAGATGCCAGCTTTGGTTATGGTAGGGGAGTCGTCTCCGTGGGTCCCCGTCACCTCTTCTTGATAGTTTTGAGAAGGCTTGATGATCCTCAAATCCAGCAGCAACTCCTCAGTCAAAAGAACCCCACCCTGGTACGCCCTTGGTTGATGACGGAAATAGTCATCATCCCGGCCAAGCACAAGACGTTCCCTTGACATGCCTCAGTCAGTTTAATCTTTACAACATCCTCGGTCCTTATAAAAAAAGTTAAGTGATTTTCCCGGTCGTGGCTATTAGAGGGTAAAGGTTCAGGGCCCTGAACGTTACTTCCCAACCCCTGCCCTCACTCCCAGTGGCCCAGGCCTCCTTGCCCTGCCCTGGGTTCAGATTAAGTAGCAGAGGGATGAAGCAGCAATGCCCAAGGATACTAAGAAATAAAAGATTTCTGCTGGCAAAGCCTTGAGACATGAAGGGGGGTGGGAGCTTGCTGATCCTGGGTTCCCACCAAGGGAGAGGTTCCTAGAGAGGCTGGGAGTGTGCGTGCCAACACCCCCCGCCCCCCAGCAGCCACACATGCGAAGGTTTGACAGGATACAATTCAAACAGGCATCCATTAGGCAGCGGGCCCATTTCTGCTCAATCACAGGCAGTGAAAGAACAAAGAAATTGGATCAGACTATCAGTGCCCTAGCAAAAGCCACCGGTGGGCTTCAAAACTTGCAAAGTCTAGGGAGTGCCTGGGTGACTCCGTCGGTTAAGCGTCCGACTTCGGCTCAGGTCATGAGCTCACTGTTCGTGAGTTCGAGCCCCCGCGTCGGGCTCTGTGCTGACAGCTCGGAGCCTGGAGCCTGCTTCCGATCCTGTGTCTCCCTCCCTCTCTGCCCCTCCCCCACTCACGCTCTGTCTCTCAATACTGAATAAAAGTTGAAAAAAAATTTAAAAACAAAAACTTGCGAAGGCTGTTTTCTAAGGGGCGCCTGCTAGAAACCTGAGGTCGGAGGGCAACTGAGCAGAGTGCAGTGTCCCCACACAAGTTCAACATCGATTCACAGTCGTTCACTGAGCACCTCCCGCGTGCCAGGCACAGGGCCGGGGGCGGCTGGGGATGCGGAAGTGTCGTTGCAGGACGATAAACACCTTGTGAATTTAGAAGGTTGGTCCCATCGGCTAGAAAGCCTCCGCTTCAGCCACCTCACCCCCACCCCCCCATGCCACCCACCCCAGTCTTCGCCAGGACCTTGAGGAGTTCTATCCACAGCTTGGCCTCAGGGGCACTCACTTGGGCAGGTGTCTAGAAAGTTCTCACACACAGTTCCCTCTGCTTAGTGCTCCCGGTTTGTCTTCCGTCATTACCCGAAGCCACTTCTTTCCGGATTCTGATTCGGCTGCTTCCAGGACCCCTCCCGACAGACTTGGGCAAACCTGGGTTTCCACGAATCCGTGTTTACCCCGCTACTCCATTCTGCCCACTGCCTTCGTCTGTTTGCCTTTCTTTCCTGTTTCCCTAACCTGCACTGACGTGACAGAGAAAGCAGTCACTCGGCGTTTTGGGGTCGAATGGACCCCCTGGACTGGAGGAACTTCTAGCAAATGGGGTGCGGCATAGATGGGATTCCCTGTAGGGCCCACCTACTTTGACACCCTGTGGATCCGCCTTGGGGAAGGGCTGCTGGGTAGACATTAGTTTCTGGCAGTCGGGTGGTCTCCTTGAAGGTTTCCAATGGGGTTTGCAGCAGATAGGCCTTTTCCTAGGGAACTGTCTGGAAGCCTGGGTGATCTGAGTGCGGGAAAGCTTGGCTCCTTCAAAACTACCATACACTTGGCCTGGAAGCCGCTGGGATCTAACATCCTAGAGAGCATGACAAGCTTCAGGACGGAACAGACAGAGTCAGCGCCTGACTCGATCCCTTACAGGTGGTTTAACCCCAGGCAAGTTATGCACCTTTCTGGGCTTATTTCCTAATCTGTGATGGCAACATAATTCGCACCTCCGAAGGCGGCAGTGACGATGAATTCAGTGAGATATCCCCTCTAAATTGGCCAGCATAGGCCCAAACACGACGGAAGCTGGCTCTCGCTTTGTACCAACAGTCGCAGTGGCTCGCCCTACAAGAGCGAACCCCCAAGAGGACGTCAGGGGTTCCGGGCTGGTGCGCAGTGCCCACAAAACCACAGATGGCAGAGAATCATCATTTGCAGGACCCCGGAATTTTAGTTAAATACGCACAATTTTATTGATTGAAGAGATTAGGACAAAAACATTAAACCAAATACAGGACAAAGCACCAGAGGCCATAGATTCCCAGCATGCATGCCACCAACCTTTCCTCCTACAGGGTACTTAAAAAATAGGGGACGGGGAAGAAAAACAGGTCCTTCTTGACACAGCACCATCTTCAGAATGTGAGAAACAAAAACAAAAACAAAAAAACAAAAAAAAAACAACCCAAACAAACAAAAACCTCTCTCCTTTGTTATCTTCCGTTATCAAAATAGAATCATGGCCGCCTTGTCTCCTGACTATGAACGGTTAAGCCGCCCTCCTGGGAACGTGAAGGCTGAGCCCCTGCTGAACAGGCATAAAGCATCCAAGGTCTGCACATACATGCTACATACTATAATGAAGCACAGATTCAAGTAACATTTACATACTAGAGTCCACGTGTTACCTACCCAAAAACATGACCATTTCACAAAAACGTATACAGGCGGTAAAATCCAAACAACTGAGGTACTGGAAACACAAATATTTATGCCAAAAGTGTTCTGTATCATACAGCAATAGAAAAGCCGTAATAAAAAACAGTTGCCACTCGAAATCAAACAAAGCTATCTAGAAAAGCCAAACAAAAGGTTATTTCAGGGACAGAGATACTCAAACGAGAAAAAATATATATATATATAAATGTTAACTACAGCATGTAACGTCATCCCAAGTCAACCCGTAATTGAAGTACTCGCTTAATACATCACAATGTGACATTTTCCTTAATAAATAGAAGAGTTCTTGAAAACACAAAGGTGCGTATTGGGACAGAGAGCTGTTTGTATTTATAACATCCTAGCTTTCAGCTGATGTTTCTTCCCGCTTGTCTCTACCGAGGGTTTCTGTCCAAACCAGAGGGCCTTCCGAGCCAAAAGGATCGTTCTTCCTAAAGGAAACAAAATAGCTGCCCTGGATTTCATCACGTGCGACAACCTGCTCTGCGTCACTGGTCATCCAATAAAACAGAGACAAGAGGTTTCGTTGAGACCAGACTGTTGCGAAAAGCTTCGGCCTCTCAATATGCCCCTCCCGCTAACCTGGCCCCGGTGCCATCGTCCCAGCAGAGAGGACCATCTATAAGGCAGCCCTCCTTGTTCAAAGGAAAGAAATTCGGGAGTGGATTTCTCTTTTTTCCTTCCCTTCCCTTCCTTTCCTTTCTTTAAACTCTAATAGCGGTAATGCCTCTGGAAGTTTGACTTCTAATAGCTTCCTGCCACAAACCCGTGGACACAAAACAGAATCACTTTGTTAAAGGACAGACTTTTTTTTTTTTCTTCCCCCTTCAGGGAGCAGAGCATCAACGTGTCATTTCCTGACCAGGATGGCAAATCGTTTATTTAGAAGAAATGAGTTGAAAAGAGCGATTAAGAGACACAAACTGGACTTTTATTTTCTTTTAGCTTTAGCACCCAGGTTTCACGTCAGTCTGTGTGCACCGAATTGTTTTTTAAATGAACCCCATTAATAATTATCAGGTAGGTGGCTGGCTTGTTTCAAAAAAAAGAAAAAAAGAAAAAAGAAAGAAAGAAAGAAAGAAAGAAAGAAAGAAAGAAAGAAAGAAAAAGAAAGAAAGAATCCTTGGCCAATTGTACCTTCCCTGAATCGTGACAAGAAGTTAAAAGCTAACAGTGCGATGCCAAGATGTGTGGTTGAGGCAGAGAGTTTGGGCTCCGTCAGGATCTGCAACTATTTTGGAACAAATGAAAAGTGGGGTAGGCAGAAACAGCCCCGCTGGCAGGGGTGGGCTCCGGGGGCCGCGTCAGGGAAGCGGGAAGCGCCAGGGGCTCCCACCCCTCCGACCTGACCCCAGACTCCCACCCCACATCTCTCGCCCCCATGCTACATGTTCGGTCAGCTCCTTGAAGGTTCTCCTTCTCTGAACCGAGAAAACGTTGAGTGTCAGTGTCTGTCTTAACACCAAGCCAGGCGACGTGCGTGCCCCGGAAGGACTTTCCTCTGCCCTCTCTCGCTCCCGGTACCTGCTTAAGTCTCTGTGGGGCGTGAGCTCAGTTAAAGAAAGGGTCCAAGTTCTCTTCCATGTTGACATCCGGCACCAGCTGATCAGACGCCTCCTTAGCACCATATCCTGAATTCGAGACGCTAAAATCTGTAGAAAACCAAGGATGGTCCAGAATTTCCTGCGAGGTCAGCCGCTCTGAGGGCTCCCGCCGCAGGATGCTTCGGATGAGGCACTTGGCCTTGGGCGACAGAGTCTCTGGAATGTTGAACTGGCCCCGCCGGATCTTGCTGAAGAGGGAACTGGGCTCAATGTCATGGAAAGGGTACCGCCCCACCAACATGGTGTAGAGCATCACTCCCAGGCTCCACACGTCGGCTGCTTTGCCCGAGTAGCTGCCGCTGGTGTTCAAGATCTCTGGGCTTACGTAAGCCGGGCAGCCGTGCTTGTCTGACAGGGAGTCATCGTCCCCCCGCAGGATGTAGGCATCTTCCAGGCTTTCCAGCTTGACCCGGGTCCTGCAAGAGAGAGGAAAGCGTGAGCTCCTACGGGTGCTCTGACGCACACGAATCTCATCACTGTCAAATCACACAGCTCCTGCTTGAATGTTTCCAAAACCTTCATTCATTCATTCATTCATTCATTCAACCAGCCAAACATGACTTCTAGGTGCCTTCTAGGTGCCAGACACTGTTCCAGGGCAGGGGGCCCCAGGAGTGAACAAGAGTGACAGGGAATTTGCAAGAGCCTTAAGATCTACTGGGGGTGGGAGGGTCCCACACCTCCAGCAAGTAAACAGACTCTAAATGACTTGATTATCTCCCCATCTCAGTGATGAGGTAGTAAGAGATCCAGTGCTATTCTCAAAGACGCCCTTAGGTAGTGATGGGGAGTCACAGGATTTGAACTCAGATCCAGCCAACTGGGAAGCTCCCAGAAGCTCTGTCCACATGTTCCGGCAAGCTTCTGGCTGACGTGATAGAACACGGTATGGAACGACCTTTTACTCAACGGTATCTTGGCTTTATTAACAGTCCTTTTGTTAGACATGGAAGATTTTATGATCCCATTTTACAGATAAGAACATCCAGGCTCAGAGAGCTTGAGTAGGAATAATTTGTTCACTGCCCTTTAGCTGGGAAATAGAGAAGACCTGCCCCACACTTTGCTTCATCAACCTGTCCCTCCTTCCCCAATACCAAGCTGCCTCTCCAGGACACGAGCAGGGCTGGGGAATGTATTCGAGCAGGCATCCGTTACCAGCAGCTAAGCCCTCCCAGGGCTGACCTCCCCTTCCCAAGATTTGCTGTGGAAGTTGCCTCCCGTCCTGCCAATCACATTCCCAGGGGCTGGTCCCTGACTTACATAATACTAATGTGACCTGGTTGCCTGTATCTTCTACCTGTGACAACTCACGCACGATGCTGATTTCTCACGAGTGCAGGGGTATGTCTGTCGATCTGCCCTCGCCGTTTACATATTTATTTATTTATTGTTTATTTCTGAGAGAGAGACAGCACGAGTGGGGCAGGGACAGAGAGAGAGGGAGAAGGAGACACAGAATCGGAAGCAGGCTCCAAGCTCTGAGCTGTCAGCACAGAGCCCGACGTGGGGCTTGAACTCGTGAACCGCGAGATCATGACCTGAGCCAAAGTCGGTCTCTGTACCAGCTGAGCCGCACAGGTGCCCCTGCCCCTTGCCATTTAAGGACGAATGAGCTGGCTGACGGGTTCCGGGACCCTCCTGGATGCACTCCTGAACAGAGATGGAGAAAACCCACGTTGAACCCAGAGCCCCCGGGGCCTAGCACCCGTCTCTGCACAGCAGGGCTTGACGTGACCACTAGGCATAAAATAAGGCTCAGTAAATACTTTTGGAAGTTAAATTCCTAAAAATAATACGTACTTGCGGTGAACAAAGCTGAGGACCGAGATGTGAAAGGACTTGTTCAAGGCTGATGGCTGCCCCCGACCCAGCACCATAAGCCCCTAAGACCGGCATCTCTCCTTGATTCAGGG